TATTCAGGTTGTAAATCGTGTTTTTAAAAAGTAACTAAGTAATTAATTACTTTTGAAAATAAGTAATCAGTAAAGTAACGGGATTACTTTTTTGGGGGAGTAATCAGTAATTAGTTACTGATTACTTTTTTCAAGTAACTTGACCAACACTGGTCATCAACACATGAAAACTTTAAGTCTAGGCTGTTTCTACTGAAATGACTTAGACCACAGTTTGTTTTCTCAAACTGCAAGCTTTTAGATGACAATACGAAGAACAGCTGATCAACGGCTTTGACTTTTAGGTGTCGGGGGTTGGTTTTGCCGGTTTCCACGCCGACCAATCCTGTAATAACAGGTGACTCCATCTAGATCAGGGGTGGGGAACTCCAGGCCTCAAGGCTCAGTGTCCTGCAGGTTTAGACGTGTCTGCTGATTCAAATGGTTAAATGACCTCCTCAACATGTCTTGAAATTCTCCAGAACCCTGGTAATGAATTCGTCATTTGATTCAGGTGCGTTGACTGAAGGTGATGTCTAAAACCTGCAGGACACCGGCCCTCGAGGCCCTGATTTACAGCCATCTTCACAAACATTTTCCTGCTGTGACCAAAACTCGGCCGGAGCACCAAATTTGATTCATAGCTTGGGGAAAAACAAAAAACGATTTCACCACGGTCAGCTGAAACCACTTTGCTGTGATGGCTGCTGCAGACTACATGAGGCTTTCTCTGCTGGTTCACAGGGAGTGCTGATGGACCTAACCCAGGTAACCCGGGTGCACGGGTTCGACCCAGTTTGGTTGGTTCTGGCAGTTGGTGGCATCACCTTCGTCCTGGGGTTTGCTGGCTGCGTGGGAGCGCTGAGGGAAAACATCTGTCTGCTGAAGTTTGTACGTGAACACATTTTAAGCTGGAAACTTCCTGCTGTGCATCAGATTTTCAATGTTGAAATGTTCTGTGTGGTTCTTGTGATCAGTTCTCAGGTGTGATTGGCTTGATCTTCTTCCTGGAGCTGACGGCGGCAGTGCTGGTGGTGGTTTTCCAAAGTCAGGTCAGAGCATGGATCAACGAGTTCTTCCTGGCAAACATCAAGGGGTACAGAGACGACATCGACCTGCAGAACCTCATCGACTCTGTGCAGAGGATGGTAAAACATCTGTTCCCTTTAGTACCGGGGAAAAAACCTTGAGAACTATTTCTTTATAGAGGAACTTTCAGCCTTTAGTTCTTTGGGGTCTTACCTTTGGAACTATTCTCACGCAGAACGCCTGCTGTGGCGCTCAGACCCCGCAGGACTGGAACCAGAACGTGTACTTCAGCTGCGACGAGAATAACCGTAGCAGAGAGAAGTGCGGCGTTCCGTTCTCCTGCTGCATCCAAGATCCTGCTGTGAGTTGATCAATAATCAGTTCTGATCGGTGCAGGCAATCAAACCGTTAACCTGCCATCTGTTTCAGGACTTGGTGATGAACACTCAGTGTGGCTATGACGTGAGGCGCAACCAGGTGAGGTCACTTCCTGTGGTGTCATTTAACACCTGCTGGACAGGTGAGCAGATATAACATGAGGCCGATGTGGCATCCCAGCTGCTGACAGAGGAATAGACTTGTATAAATAAGTTGCATGTTCCATTGAGAACCTCACAGCCTAACGTTCTCTGATGTTCTCGGGTTCCTGTGCAGTCAGAGTGGAGTAAGCATATCTACACCAAAGGCTGCATTGCGGCGTTGGAGGACTGGTTGCCGAGAAATCTGTACACGGTGGCCATCGTCTTCGTAGTCATCTCCCTGCTGCAGGTAAGCAAACATCTTTTACTCTGTGAGAAGGCTCAGAGTTTTATCAGCGTCAGAACTTTGACCTGATAAGTTCCCACTGCTGGAGGCTTCCTGAACAACTTTCACAGCCTTTGGAGGTTTGCAGCAGGCGATTCATTCACCTGGCTGTTTTTCTCGACGTTCTGAAGTGTCACAGATGGCTTTCAGGTAGATTGGCGAGATCCAAAGGGCCCCAAAACACAAATTGCTGTTTGTGCGAATATCCACATATGTGTGGTTCAGGTGTCTGACAGAGCAACCCAACCCTCATAAACTCATAGATGCAGTTTAGCATGGTTTATTCACAAAAGAACAGAAAACCATCAAACTGAGAAAATCATTTCACCGTTTCGACAATATCTGGTCTGTGAGCTGAGCAGTCTCTCTCGCTCTGCTTCGTCCTGTTGTTGGTATAAAAGCTCTGGACTGCAGTCAGGCAGGTTCAGCACCGGACTCTTCTTCTGCAGAGCCGTGCTGCTTGAATAGATGCAGTTTAGCATGGTCCTGATCGGACATGAAGGCCTTCCTGAAGAACACATCTGGACAGAGCAGATGTGGCTCTAGAACCGGTTTGTACCTTTCTGCACTGATGGAGCCTTTCCAGATGTGCAGGGTGACTGGTTTCCATCTCAGAATTATGTCGGTTTTTAACGCAGTGCTGCCTGAGGATCAGTCATCAGCCTCATCCCTCCAGGGAGGCCTCCAGGGTATTTTGATGAAGTCATGTTCTGTAGATGATTAGATGTTCACAGTGATGTGTAGTTTTCACAGTGGGCAAGCTCTGCCTCTCTAATATGCTCTTTACGTAACTTTCTTACTTTAAATGAAAAGAAGACAGAAATTATTGTTTTTGATAGAAATATGCCTCTGGGACAACTGACTGGCACATTCGGGCCTGTTGCTAACCACCTCACTGATGCTG